TTTTCATAGAGAAAGCCGTCGACATTTTTTTCCGATGATTATTCAGAACTGGATTCATAACTGCAATTTTGACTTTTATGTGCCTCTTATTCCTGTATTCCTTGCACTTGGTGACATATAAATATGTGTATTTTAAGTTCCAACGAGTTGTCCGTTTCAATATGGACATCTGCAGTGAAGAACTGGTACACTAATTTGTATGCCTTCCAAGGACAAGTGTACGGATCAAGAATTGTGCATTTAAATGCAGATCTGCGCAATAGAAGTGGATACGGAAGCCAAAAGAACAGGTAAGGTTCATTTTATTAATTACTTATAGTTTGTGATTTTTACTGTTCTTATGGAAGCTATTTTGTTTGATGGATTTGTTTTGTTTCATGTGTTTGAGGTCCTGCTTATATTCTGTGCCTCAACGTGGCGAGCGGGTGAAACAAAGAACAGTGCATTTCCGAAATTGAAATCATTGTTACACTAATTGCAGCAGCCTCCATTTTGGTCAGAATGTTTGATCCATGAGGCCTGCATGTGTATGGTAATGTTCCGTCTGGCTATTAGAAGGTTTAGGCTTGTTTTGTGACAATGCATAAACGCCTGTTAGTTTGTAATTCTGTATTTCAGCATCCTGTTGCAAATCTCTAATTAACGTCTATGTAGATATCACAGCCCGTCAATAATGCAACAATTGTTCCCTTTTTTATTCCTCAAATTTCACAATTCAACGCTTAACACAGCATGTTTCGACCATACATGGCCATCTTCAGGTGTATTAATGTATCTAAACTGCTACACTACTCTGATGTGCGCCAAAACCACGCGCTGCTAGAGGGAATAACACAGAAGCAAGGGGCATATAACAGATTGCAGACATAGCAAAACAACAGGCTAACCAACAGAAGAACAAGCTGCAGAAACGAACCTTCTGGAATAATCACATAGCTCTAAACAAGTGGACGACGCTCCTTATGAGGTGGAATAGGATTTTACAAAAGCAGTGAAAAATGTTAATAGAAAATTTTAATGGATTTTAATTCATTATTTTTATTTTATTTTTAAGTGGACTGCAACGCGTGGTTTTAGCGCACATCAGAGCGGTGTAGGTGTAGCAGTTTAGATAGATTAAAACACCTGAAGATGGCCACCTATGGCCGAAATATGTTGTGTTAAGTGTTAAATGGCGAAATTGGAGGAACAATAAAAGGAACAATTGTTGCATTATTGATGGACTGTGATATACAAAGCCCGTTAATTTCCTTGTGTTCGTCGTGAGTCGCATTCTCCCGACACAGTTTTCCCACTCGATGTAAGGATTTTAATTAAGTTTGTTATTTATGCCCCTTACAAAGACATATGAACTTAAATTAATTATAGAGCACGTTTGGGTATATTACTGCCTCTGTATATACAAATGTAAGTACATTATTATGTAGCCCATATACATGTAGATACATAGTGGAAATGTGCTTTTCGTTTACTCATGACGTCTGCTTGCTGCCCCAGGGTGTTGCGGAGTGGGCGTCAGGTTTAGAGCGATAACAAAAGAATGAAAAACAATATCAATGGCGCCAAATTACTAGCTACGATTCTAGTGACTTTCTTGAAACCGCTCCGTTTGTGTAAGTGCATATTGCATAAAGCATCGTGTATTTAAGAGAGCCTAGTATCTTTCACTAAATTCATTTTTTTTCCTCACATGTGACAGTCCTAAAATATATTCAGAACCTTTAAGTGATGTAGACCGTAACATGAAGTGAATAAAATGTACGAATGGCAGTACTTTACAATGCCTTATGTGTTAAATTTCGTCAGAATCTGTTAAAGTACAAGTAAAGTAAAGTAAAGTAAAGTAAAGTGAACTTGGCCGCGCCATATATCAAGCGGTTAGTCGCTGGCTTCCCAACGCGGCGGCCCGGGTTCGATCCCGGGTCTGGTCAAGTGGGATTTGTGGTAGACAAAGTGGCGCTGGGGCGGGTTTTCTCCGAGCACTTCGGTTTCCCCTGCCAATCTTCATTCCACCTAATTCTCCATCATCATAATCACCCGGGGCAGGCTACAATAGGCCAGTCAGTGGCCGCCGTGCCGAGTGGACCCAGTTGGACTCCACCCCCCACTAAGCGAATCAGAAAAGAATTGAATTATATTTGCGTTGCTTGATGATCATAAGCTTTGGCGCCGGCGGGGGGATAAGACATCAGCCTTTTCTGGATTTTTGGAAAATCGGACTTGGAAAGGAGAAGAAAGTTACCAAATATTCATACAGAATTTATAATTACTTTTAAATGTGTATTCATTTATCCTGAATACCCTACTTCAATCAGTCAAATTAGTCTTGAATTGCTTAAATATAATTTTATAAGTAAAGTGTCTAACTAACCTTCCCTGGAAAGTTGGTTCCCCCTTTGATAAGAAAGTCCTGGAGTCGCCCATGTTCATGTGGGTTTGATCTCCATTTGAAACGTGTCTGCTCATCAGATCTCTCTTCGCGTTGCATCTGTTCAATTATTCATGGTCACACTAGAAAAACCTTCTTGAATTAACCATTTATTTTATTTTTAAGTCCTTACTGGTATTTACACGGTGGTGCGTCTGAGCTCCCACAAATTTAAGAGGATTTAGTTCTCAGTAGTACAAGAGCAACCGAAATAAATTGCGACCATTTTCATTCCTGATCTCAGTCTCGTTCCACTGGATTGTTTTCACAGTCGGACAAGAGCAACTGAATGCCCCTTTTTTCACTAATATCGCAGTCCTCATTTACATGTTTTCTCCAGGAACCTGGGAAGTTCTGAAATTTCGCAGAAGGAATTTTTGGGTTCGTGTTCAGGAGTCACCTGTGCTATTATCTGTGAAATGACAGTTTATTATTTCGCTCATCGGAATGAAATGTGTTGTTAGATAGAACGCGAATACGACTTGTGTATTCCAGCTGTCAAGGAGAGGGCCGGTATTTAAGCAGCCTGGACGTATCTGAAATATGTTCTCTCTGCAGCAGATTGACAGTACCTCGTAACGTAATCAGCGAGGTTTCTCCTCTCCGATCTCGTCGGGTTGATTGTGTACTCGCTTTTCTGCGTTCATGTTTGTGTAGCTATAAGAGTTCGTCCAATTATCAGTTCAAGGTCGTGATATGGCACGGTAGAATACATATCGAAATAAAATAATACTTCCTGTCCATCCTAGAACCAGAGTACGTCATGCCTTGCGTAGCCAACCCTGCAAACGAAAAGTTCTACGTGTTCAACGAAGTATCCTATAATGACGCTTCTAGGGATCATTGTTCATAGGACGACCGAATCAATGCCAACAGTAAAGAAATATTCCACATAATTATAATTGTAAATAACTGTTCACTGCCTTGAGACATCTGTAATAAGTTAACATGGAAGCGAAAGCAGTGTGTGTGTGTTACTTCTGTTAATTTATCGTGCATTTGACGTAAGTTGTGCCCTCGTGATCTTGACAGCAAGATCTGTCGGTTGTGGGCGGGAATTCCAACAGTAAAACAACGGCCATTTCTCCCTTTACGGAGCTCAAAAAAATTTTCAGGCTTGATGTAAATTTGTGTGCCGTATATCAAGGGATATTTTGATATATTTCTATTGTGAAGCACGCAGTCCTAAGTTTAGTATGTATCTTGTACTGTATATAGTACGAACTCCAGAATTGCGAAAATTTGATAACATATTCCGCAAGTTATATCTGGCCATCTCAGTTCTCTTGTTTTATTACGATGTGTGGAAATAGGTTGATAAAATGTTCATGTCTAGGAGACATCTTGTAAGATATTCCCAGTTTATGAAGTCAATCTAAGATGTCCATTTGTTCTTCCAAGAAGAGAGTTTTAAAATAAAAATAATCAATATTACCACACACAGCAATACTGGAACACGTGTATGTCTTTTTGAAAATTAGTCACGCTATAGTTCGAGCTACACTAAGAAATTTCGTCTACATATAAGTTACTATGTAAGTACATGTCTGAGGTGTGCGTAATTTCTCCCTAGTTTTCACATAACTTCTGATTAACCAACACAAAACATGGTTACACGAAACTCTCTCTCAGCTTTAAAATTTATGAATTCAATGGAAATCATGGCCACAAATTTCACATATACCACCATACCATTATGAGTAGATGTGTCCAATAGTGGGCAATTATGTATAGCTGCAAGTTGGTGTTCCTTTACCAAACAACGCTATGAAAAGTAAGAATGGATCAGTACTGTAAAATGATGGTAAACTTATTAAAATAGTATTATTTCTAAGCAATATAACAAGATTATTCACAATAAAATTAACGTAGCATATTAATATAATTTATAACTTCATAATACCATGCACAAAGCGCATTTTTTTATTTTGAAAAAATAAATGTATATACAAAGAAGGCCTAGGCAATGCCTTTCCGGCCCACTGTAGAGCAGTCTCATACATCATGTTCTGTCACAGCAGGCGACCCACGATTTTTTTAATATATCGCTTAACTCTTAATATTCTGCACATTTACTTTTTATTTTTTTAATAAATTTAGGAATTTTGTTTAGGAAGTAACAGACACCTTGTACATTTTTTCTCTGGCCTTAGGTAACTGACTTCTTTTTTTACTGTTCTCAGACAAAATGTCCATTATCTTTGCCCCTTGGTCCTCGTACAGTTTACAATCCCAGAAATTATGTTCCTCCGTTTGCAGCCCGTCACCACATTCACGTTCAACCGTGGACGCAATGCTAAATCTGCTTAAGCTTACTTTAAGTCTCGAGCGGCCTGTTCACGTAAGGTTTACTGAAACGAAGGCACGACAACTCGTTTTTATCTCGTGGAACCACGGAAACGAGCCATTCCTGTAGTACCTTTCAAAGTAGTTTTTCTTCTGTCCCTATTGGTGTTTCAGCATAAACTGCAAAGCTCCTCTTTGCTTTACTTTTCCCACTAGGCTTTAAAACCTGCCGCTGAATAGGGTATTATGTCAACCACACATGCCCACTGCCATCTGGTGAGAAAAATATCAACCCAAAATGTTTTAATTTCCCACCGGCAAATAAATGGACTCTGGTAAACTAAGTAATAATGACGGAACGGTATACGCACAAACTTGCGATGACGTAACCTTTCTTGCCCATGCTGTGCAAACGTAACAGCAGCGTTAGTTTCCGAGACTTTGTTGCAGTTGATTTGTTATTGTAGTGAGTGAATGTATGTGAAGTTTGAGGTTATATGTACCCCATTCGTCCAGAAGACTCCAAATTTTGACCATTTTACCTCGTGTGTAATAGCTTTTAAATGTGACAAACCTGCGAATTGATAATTGTGGTCAGTTTTATCGAACTCTGAATACGTGGAATGGTATGTAAGTATAGAACATTTACTATGTACCATGAGTGGTACACTACCCAGGAAGGTCTAGCTATACAACTTGTGTGTTCATATGCAAAAACAGCAACCATTGGTGTAAGGATGACATTAATTTTCTGTGATTTCAAACATCAGTGAGAAGGGTTTGAATGAAATTGAATTTCAGTGGAGCAGTCTTCTCTTGATAAATTTTTAAGAATTGTGTATATCAGACAAAATTCAGTAATAGGACTAGTTCCTTATAACATTGCCAGTAAAGTGTAATTAACGATTAATAAATGGTCATGGTTTATTTTAGATGATGGGCAGCTTTTGTGTGCTTTTGCATAATTGTTTACAAATGGGTTTCAGGGTGTAACATTGCAGCCAAAGCACTCTGTCTTAACTGTAGGGTAGGATGTGGGTTGATGAAATAATCATGATTCATTTGTTCCCTGTTAGGGATCCTGTTGTCAGGGCTTGAAAAAAGACGTTAAACTTGATCTTTACATAAATAAAACTTTACATGCAGCAAAGATTTGCAGGCATAAGAATTAGACACAAATTTGTTGTTGAACACATAATTGATGGTCATCAAATTATCTTTATTATCCTTGGAGAAAATCCATCAATCGCCTTACACCTGGAACAAATTAGATCAAGTGTTACAGTGTGTTAACTAACACTCTGGTGGAAAAACTTGAAGGTCCAACACTCCTGTTTGAAAGCTCACCAGTCAGCATAACTCAGAGTTAGCTCCATCTGCTTCCTGTATTTACAGTCTAATTCCCTGTGGTCCATTTTATTGACGTTCCAAGCGGACATTTCTCAGTGGGAATTCCTACAAAAATACTGATAGGCTGATAACTTTCTGAGTCTAATAATGTGTAGAATTGATTTTTTCCTAATTTCTTCAGGAACTTCAGGTGATAGCATTAAATGATGTTACCCTTTTTTTTTGTACTGAGTTAACACCAGATTTTCCATTTATTAACATTGTAAATGTGCTTTTGTCTCTAGTTTTCTTAAAAAGATTCAAACCGGTTTTCTTCCTGTATCATTAGTGAGTTCCTCAGACATCCAGTTCTATAAAAAACTTATCTTGAATGTAGCAAAAGATGTGGGGTACTGCAATAAATTGGCATACTAACTGACAGTATTTCCACTGTTTCCTTTGTAGTTATGCTTCTCGACCAATGATATTTTTGCTGTTTGATGAAACCTCCTCCTGACACATGGGGTGAATTGTACATGACTGTTTCTGTTGATACTCATACTTCCAGCCGAGTGTAAGAAAGAGATTTTTGAAATACATGTTATTTAGCATTGTTTTTTCTCATCTGTATGCTGTAAATATTGGAAAAAATATATAATTACTACCCAGTATAATTTTTTCAGTTTTCTGTAGAAGTTTAAATTAGTGGTATGTATTTAAAACACCTAGTTATCTTTTTATGTTTTTCAGATTCCATATGCACTTACCTGAAAATGGATTCTGACATTCTGTCCCATCTTGTCCCCCAAGGGAAGGAAACCATTCGTCCAGCCTGTAAGAAATGCGGTTATGCTGGCCATCTGACATTCCAGTGCAGAAATTTCATAAAAGTAGATCCAAACAAAGAGATTGTACTTGATGTAAGCAGCACCAGTAGTGAAAGTGAAGATGAATATTTGACACCACTTACAGAATTGAGAGAGAAGGAATTGAAGAGTAAATTGAAAAAAGCCAAAAAGAAAAGGAAGAGAGCAAAGAAAGAGAAGAAGAAATCTAAATCATGTGATCGTTCACGGTCTCGATCTGATGATAGTGAGAACGATGATAGGAAAAAACATAAAAAACATGAAGACAGTGACCATGATGATATTAAAACACATAAGCACAAGAAAAGAAAGAAACATTCACATCATAAAAAACAGAGGAAGGAAAAAGGGACATCTTCAGAAGTTTCAACTGATACAGACAGTACTTAAGGCCATAGAAATGTATACATGTGAAGTGCTTATTGATATTTTATTACACTTCTAAATTTATCGTTTCCTGTAAAAAAAAAAAGTTTCATGATAATAAAGTTCTTATATACTGTTTCATCAGAGTAAGATTGTTGTACATGCACTGTGTAAATTGTAGAATTGCATTGTTCTTGTTCCTAGAAAGATCACTTTAATGGCTCTTCCCTCTGCTTTATGGAGTAGAGTCCTTCTGGAGGACCATTAGACACTTAGCACTAGTGGTTTGTAGGGGTCATCTGGCAAACAAAGCTTATGCCAGAGATGAGAGGCTAAACCTGTACTTTTATAATATACTACACTGTGCTATATATACTGCATAATATAACTAGAAATGTGGTATGATGCTATTCTTACCATATTTTTATATTTCCAGTTATATTTGTTTGTTGCTTACCCTATCAAAGTAAACAGAACATACTGGTTTTGTTTGGCGACCATGTTTTAGATCCATAGAAACCTTGCGCATTTACCAAAAGTCTGTTATTAGACCATATTTTAGGATCTTGTATTAACTGAAGAGTGTGGTTCCCCTATTTCAGAAGATTTAACAAGGATGAAATAGGCCACTGGACTTACTCCCTAATAATTATCATGAATTTAATTATGTAGTAATTGTTATTTATTTCTTGAACAGCTTTCAATTACATAACAAAATGTACATTGCATAATACAGATAACAAAATACTTTTGTAGCATATCTAACGCTTATTCTGCAGCACCCAGCACTGAAAACTTATTACAAACATCAAATCCAGAATTTGAACCACTGTCTTCAGGTCCAGAACTGCTCTCGTGTTTATCTTTTTCATAAGCTTCATTACCATCTGCTTCTGGTACTTTTCTACTATTCTCTTCCTCCTCGCCTTCTGATGGAGTAAAATCACCACCTTCATCACCTGCTGCTTCTTCGCTTGTTTTGGCTTGGATCCATTGAACAAGTTGAATATCAGCATGCTTCTCCCAGTAATCTGAAAAAGTAAAAGAACTGATGAAAGACTGTTTTCCATTTAATAATTTTCAGCTTTTTTTCTGTGGTTTGCCTGACATTAAGAATTATAAAGAGCACAGTTAGTATGCAAACGCATTATAGTACAGGCTTCTCTAATCTTTTAATCAACCTGAGATGGCACAGCTGATCTTATGTGGAGAAAGAAATATAATTTTCTAGTAAAATTTATGGCAGAGGCATCCTGTCCACACAAAACTGATGCTTTCAAAGCTCCTGTAGTTTCAACATTTTTGCAGAACTTTTACTTTCAACACAATTAAACATGGTCAAAATAATTTATTGTTCTTTGTTTTTAAGCACTTACCCACTTGCATGGTTTACAAAATTATCATTAGCCATTCTTTAGCAATGTGCACTGAAGAACTACAACTGTTTGCAGCATACTGGCCTGACTATATGTGAAAATCAGGCAACAAAGGGGAGCTCTTTCATTTAGTTGACACCACAGTAATATGCTTAACATCAGGAAGTGTATGTGTAGTGTATGTAACAATTCGGACACTTTTTCTGTACTGCCTCTGGACAATATAAATATCCTTAATTTATGGGACAAGTATGCTGAATATAAAATATGTTTCACTTTTCTCTAGAAATCTGAAATTCTGCTAAATATTTAAATGAGTTATGCTCAAAGATATAGAAATGTTTGTGGGTCTTCATGTAGAGCCTGTTATTACTGTCCAATATGAACCAAGACTGGAATATGATGACAAATATTAATAAAACTCCTCATTAAAAATTTCAAGAAAATCCATTCAGCAATTTTCCTTGCATATGAAGCAGCCTCCGTAGTCTAGGGGTAATGTTCCCACCTCATGACTCAAGGTATGCGGGTTCAAACCTGGCGGAGGTCATGGAATTTTTAAGGGCGAAAAAATTCAGGGAACAAGTCCTCCAGGAGGGACTTTAAGCTGTGGGTCCCGTGTCGTTGCTTTACGGCACGTAAAAGAACCTCATGTCCCAAGGGGACCACTGAGCCAAACTGATCGGACATTTCCCGCCCAACAGTAGTCTCTAACGCCTCTGATAGATGGGGGAAGCATTGAGAGATACCGCGGAGCCAGTAGAGGCCGAACTCGCTGGCTGAGTCGGGACTGATGGTATGCACCAGTATCGGTAGGGTATAGAGACTGGTAGAATATCACAGAGGGGACGTACAATAGACCACTGGTCGCGGTGCATGGGGAAACCCACCCCTCCAATAATAATAATAATAATACCTTGCATATGAGCAGTTGCAGAAATCTATGCATAAAATGCATGTAGCTTTGGTAAAAATTTGGGGAATAATCTGCACTTAATTTTATACTTAATGTTAATCTGTTTTTATTTTCCAGTAGTACAATTAAATATTTCAAAAGCACTATAAAAACCCTTGCGTAAGAAAAGGTTCAAACTTTCAATGCGGTTATGAAACTTACCTTTTTTACTAGAATAGCCAGGAGGATGGAGACATAAGCAGATCTTTCCATCTAATGCCATGCGTAACAGGCTATTGGCAGCACGATATGAATCAAGACGAGCTGCTCGAGCTGTATAGAAACCACGCTTCAAAGCCCAGCCTAATTAAACAGTAAGAAACATGTCACCTTTATTCAGTATCCAAGGAAATGCTAATATATATTTAAAATTCTTCCTCCTTCAGCCTATGAATGAAACTTGGGGCATGAATGATGACTTCTGAAATAATTAAACTTGATATAATTCTTTCTTACATGAAGACATCTGATTTGCTAAGTCTCAGCAAAATCTGTTTATTTTAATTATATTTGTACATTAAGTCACAGGTGGAAATGATGAAATGGTACAAATTAACAGATCATAACTACTTATGATATACTAAAAGGAATCCCACAGGATTCAGTGTTTATCTTAGGTACACTGCAGACTTGGTGAATTTTCTGCCATGTCACACAGCTTCTTTATTATCAAACTAGGCATACTTTACATAAAAAACCATTTCAACTATTTAAACATATTTACATCTGTGGAAAGAAATATGAAACTCAGTATGGATAATGAATCAATACAGGATGGAGCAGAGACAATTCTTAAGAATGAAATGAAGTAATATTAATATTTATGAAGACTACCTTTTCCTTATTAATATACCTTCATATTTATAGCAAGAGTTAAAACTTACAACTAATATAATGCAATAGGCAGTGTAACTGATAGCTACCATCACAGATATCCGTGGCAGACCACTGTTCGTCATGTTCAGGATGTTGCAGCTTCAACAAATTAGGTCTAGTCTTTCAGCCAAATATTGAACTGCAGAAAAGGGTACTCTCAGTTGTGCAACTGGGAAACTTCCCATAAGAATCTGCAACATTTGGATTATTCTCAGATGCTGAGAATGCAGTGCAGAAATTCACCCAGTGTCATAAATAATATCAAGATTAATGGATAATATGGGTAATATGATGGCTGGAAAGGAAACAGTAACAAAATAGGCAGCATGTAACATTCTGTCCCACAGGAATTCAATATGGTCCCTGCTCATGCACATGCTTCAACATGTATCTCAGTCATGGGAGAGAACAGATACTATTATTAGACTGATTTCTCTTCATGTCTGCAAGAGGAAGTCACAAGTGTTGTCCAGATAGTCTGCTGGGTGCTCAAGAATTTATCATGGTCACAATACCAGGACTTTGATACTGACAGCCACATGAGTGATTGCTGTGCAACACGACTGATGGAAGTGTACAAAAATGCAGCCAATGTCATCATGGTTCTAGATGTAAGATTATGTTCCAGGAACTTATGGTAATACTATTATTAACAGTTTGGTCCTGTGGGATTACATAATGTAATGTGATGCTATAAGCATCAGTATACCTTGGACATTACTTGCTTCTTTATGAAGTTCCTTCAAACAAGGAGACTGGGTGAGACTACTTCAGTTTGGGACTTTACAGGACCATAACTTGTTTTCATCCATGGTTATACTGCAGTGCAGGAATGATTGTTCCAGGTTGTGGTTAGCAAGCACATAATGGTGCCTCTGCTTCTTACAGGTGATGAGACACCTAATGTGATGATGACACTGCACATCTCAAGGATGTCTTTCAGAATGTGAATTGCCATTACATGGCTTACTTGAGCCAACTGCTATGCCACCTATTACCTCTTCATATGCAAGAATGACTGAATAAGTTGCACATACTGGTTCTGATAGCTGGTACTATAGCATGCTCAGCTGGTTTTTAGTGCTTCCAGGTATATAGTCTGATTCTCCTTCTGCCCTCTACCCACCTAGGCAGGGGCACAGAATCCATTTATGTGGAGGGGTGCCTATAGAGCAGATTCTGTCATCCCCAGTGACAGGGTGTGATCATGACAATGATTGTGAAATTTAATGTGGGCCATGTGACTGTTGAATATGGCAAAGCTTGGATGATACATGCTTGCAGATCTTGCAATCATCCCTTCGCATTACATCTGTTATGATTCCTGTTTTTATCCAACTTATATATGATTTCACAGCATTATATTGACAACTTGACATTGTACCTTATGTCACAGTGATGTGTAGGAATGTTAACGGGTTGAAATACTTGCCACCTGTACAGTTACCAGTGAAATGACTTTAATACTCCCTTGTATGTGGTATAATCCAAAAGTTCCCGAAATTTGAATTTTGTGTGAGAATGGTTATGAGTATTTTGAAATACCACCAGGTGTCTCCCCACATACCCTTCTTGAATCAGTGTGGATAACGACGTCGAGTTGAGTGGTTGGGTTTATTGTTGGTGAACGTATTTCCATTGTTATGTTTCCTTGAGTTTGCGGTCTTGGGATGGCTGACCTGAGAAAGCAGCGTGTCTGTATGAAGTTTTGTTTTAAACTTGGGAAAACCGCTGCAGAAACGCACCAAATGTTGAAGCAAGCTTCTGGTGACAACACTTTAGGCCAGACACGCACTTATGACTGGTATAAGCGTTTGATGACGATGATGATCGTTCGGGATGGCCGTCAACTGGCACCACACCAGAAAATGTCGCGAAAGTTAGGGATCTGATTCTGCAAGATCGTAGACTGACCATCCAAGACCTCTGTAACACCTTGGGACTAAGTTATGGTACATATCAACAAATTTTGTCAGAGGAACTGAACATGAGGATTCTGGTGAAGTTTGTGCCACAACTGCTGAAAAATGAACAGAAGCACCATCGCTTGGAAGTCTGCAGGGAACTTCAACAACAGCTTCAAGAGGATCCAAACTTTCTTTCCAAGGTTGTCACTGGTGACGAAAGTTGGGTTTGTGGCCACGACCCTAAAGTAAGCAGCAATCATGGCAATGGAAGAGCCCTTCTCCACCTTGGCCAAAAAAAGCTTGACAAGTAGAGCGACATTAAGTCCATGTTTATGTTTTTTTATACTGATGGGATTGTTCATAAGGAGTTCGTCCCTCCTGGTCAGAAAGTCAATAAAGAGTTCTATCGCGATGTTCTAAGGCATTTGAGGGAGGAAATGAGGAGAAAACGTCCAGAGAAGTGGAGCACGAATGACTGGGTACTCCACCATGACAACACATGACCGCATACAGCTTACACTGAGCAGGAATTTTTGGCTAAAAACAAGATGGCAACTGTTACCCATCCACCGTACTCACCATACTTAGCTCCATGCGACTTCTTTCCCTTGACCAAGATGAAAATCAAGTTAAAGGGGCGAAGATTTGATACAGTTGAGGAAATTCATGCGGAAACGCAGACGGTACTAAACACCCTAACAAAGAAAGACTTCCAGGATGCATTTCAAAAGTGGCAGAAACGCTGGGATCGGTGTATGCGCTCCCAAGGGGACTGCGTTGAAGGTGATGGTGCAGAATAAGCTCTAGGTGAGATGTAATAGTTTTTATTAATATATTTCGGGAACTTTTGGATTGAACCACGTACATTTCTGTACATATACGGCAATGTTGCCACTACATTTTTTCAACCCTCATACAAGCATACCCATGTGTACTCTCATTCCCCCGTTCAGGAAGAAATGAGTGGGGAATTACAACTACCATTAGGTGCTTAACATGTAATGTGAACATTATGGATTATGATCAAGATTATGTAACAAAAACATTGAGAATGTAACCATAGGTCTGCAAAGTAACATCTGAAACTGGCATCAAAGCTTAACCCTTTGAGGTCTGTTGAATTCAATCTGACATTTGCAAAAGTTATGTTCTGGTTCAATACAACTCTTTAAGTCCATCACAACACAACAATACAGTGTTCAAGGCCAAATTAGCTTTGCTACATGTTTCGGCTATTCATAACCATCATCAGGCAAATACACCATCATGTTTACAGATTAGTGAACTGCAATCTGTATTCCCTACAAAATGGACATGAATACATCGTACTATGAGGCACTGACCAAACAATTAATGTTAAAACTATACTTCATGGGCCTCCAAACAGTTTATCATATAAAAGTCTAGAATATACCACATCCGCAGGAAAATACAAGATTGCAATGACTGACTTCGTGATATAAATTATCATTTGAATAACTTTTGTTTTATAATAAGTCTATATTTCACAAAGTTAATAGAAAGTCCGTCGAGTGTAACAATTTGTAGGTCACTTTTTATTATTATTTCTGCCTTACATGTTTCGGTTTGACACAACCATCATCAGAGGCACTTGCTACAATTATGGAAACACTGTCGCTGTTTTGATGTTCACAATTATGTTTGTCGTGTGGACGTTGCTACGATATGTTGACGTGTAAAAGCACAAACATGCTAAGATAGTTGAGTACGCTATCAAGTTCTCACTTTTCATCCGAACCAATTTTAAGTTAAAACACTATATTTCATTGTAATTTTTATACCATGTGTTTTATAATATAACTGTCAAGTATCCAGACTTATTACGCAATTGCAGTTCACTAGTCTGTAAAGATGATAATCGTGTATTTGCCTGATGATGGCTATGAATAGCCGAAACATGTAGCAAAGCTAATTTAGCCTTGAACACTGTTTTGTTGTGTTGTGATGGACTTAATAAAGAGTTGTATACAATAACACAACAGGATGCATGAAATGAAAATTAGAAAATTCTGGTTCAATGTTGGGCTGAGTCTGACAATCTCTACAATATCAAAATGCTTTGAAGAATTAACTAAAATTTAATCTCCTGGTCTGTCATTTATTCAAATAAATGAGCCTTAAATGTAAGTCAGTGTAACACATTAGGAAAATCAAGTTTCAAATGTATCCAAATAAAATAAATGTAATATGGTGAGGAGTTTTCAAAATGTCACAGTGATGGTTCATAATAAATCATGAAACAATGCATGCATTTTAAAAACTATATCACAAAACATGTCAGAATTTTTAGCCTCTTTTCTTATTTCATAAACACATACTGTTGGATTTTCGTTAAACTTAGTACGTATATCATGCCACTCGAACCTTTGTAATACCAACATGGCAACTATGCAAACGAGCAATCTTCTACAATACGTGGAAATTACACATGTGAAATTGTGCATGGAACGAAACATACCTACAAATTCTGCATGAATTACTTTTCTAAACGTTAATTGTTGCAAGGGTGAGTCAAATGAAAACCTCAAATTTGTAACAAAAAATCGAAATTTCATGCCATTATCCTGTAAGTTGGTAAGCGTGCTACAAAAAGCATGCAGAATGGCCTGTAGGTTGCAGCACAGTGCAGATGCACGAAAACTGTCACAGCACCAGTATAAGATGGCTGCCCCACTTGAGACTTGCACCAGGGAAGAACAGTGTTCTGTTATTCAGTTCGCTTTGAACCAGAAGGTGATGTCTTCCTTGCAAGAATCATTACTGGGGATGAAATCTGGGTTCACTTCCACCAACTAGAAACGAAGAGAGTGAGCAAGGAATGGCGCCCATTCATCATTTCCAAGACTGAAGAAGTTTCGAACACAACCATCAGCAGGGAAAAATGTTATATTTTAGCGTCCTGTTACACTGATTCATGTCCATGGTTTATGCTAACCGTCTTACAGTGTGTACACTTTTTCACCTTATTCATGTGCCATCCTCAGGTGTCTTTAGGCACGTTAAACTATTGTACTGCACGCCATGATGTCTTCATTCTAAAATGACTAAAATCTGTATTCGTTATATATGTCGATGAATTATAAATAATAAAGCTTTTCAGGATTCATCCTACGTTGCACTCAAACACGCGAATTATGCCAATCCTCTTTTATGTGAGCAGTCTTCCTACATACATTTATGTATCGTGTACAACGCATGCAGTAACAGGAGCAAAACACAATACAGAACATGATACACAAATGTATGTAGGAAGAATGCTCACATAAAAGAGGACTGGTGTAATTCATGTGTTTGAGTGCGACATAGGATGAATCCTGATAAGTTTTATTATTTAGAATTCATCAACATATGTAACGAATACAGACTGATGTGTTTCCACTGTTGGCTCTCAGGTTCAAAATGGTAGCATGAAGTTTTGTCCCCAGTGGCAATAGGACAGAATAGCATACTCTTGCTCATGGTATCGTTGTAAGTGACCCAGTGATGCAGCCATTCTCTGAGTCTTCTGTTCCTCTGTGAGTTGACGTGGAACGCACTGCATGCAGATTTTGCGGTACAGCAGGTGTTTGAACGCACTGTGTGCAGATTTTGCGGTACAGCAGGTGTTCTGTCACAGTGGTGCGTACAGAACTGTGATTTATTCCCATCAAAAGACTAATTTCTTCCACAGTAATCGGTCAGTTTGCTTGGATATGACCATCCAACACAGCAATAACATCAGGAGTGATGATGCGATGAGCCTGTCCTCTTGGAATCTCTTATGCCACACCAGCATAGGTGAACGTGACATGCTGTGTTTGCCATAAGCAACAGACATGCAATGATGAATTTCTCGTCGTCCTACTCCTTCAGCAGTCAAAAAGCGCAATACACTTCGCTGCTCTTCTTTACCCGCCTCTATTACTGATGTTGGATGACCACACATAGTACTAACCTTGCTTCCAGCACAATAAACAAATGACTACTATGCAAGGGCATGTTGTCACTGTGCTTTCATGAGTCCCCACCAGATGTTTGTACTGTAAGCAAATTCAAGTGTTACCAACTTGCGCGCCATGTGAGTTATGCGTGGTGACCCATTTTCATTTGACTGCCCCTTACAGATCACTGAACTGTATATTTAACTTATTTATTTTTCTTGCTGCCACCATTACCACATTGGCTGAATCATTTGAAGGAAAGCAGGCATCATAAATTCTTACCAAAACTTCTTAAAATAATTTTTAAATGCATACAGCTGTACCTGTAATGTCTTTGGGACTTTGGAAGGAAACACAAGACCTGGACAGTCACACAGCCTTACATTAGGAGTTAGGTAGATGGTCTGGAAATGTTTTGTATGCCCTGGGGTCCTAGAAACACTCACAACCTGGAATAAGAAAATGTACATTGTTGTAATCTGGAACACATTAATAACAGAGAAATAAAATCACTACCACACGTCATAATCAAGAAAGTTTGCAACAAGACAAACTTTCATTACTTATACGTGGGTTACTTCAAAAGTCATGACAACTATTTTTTTGGGGGGCAAACACGTTACAGTTAAGAAAGTTCAAAATATGCTTACGAAAGGGCATGATATACCCCTCCGATTGGCTTAGTCAAATCAGGTAGATGTGAAGGGGCATAGGTATACTAGGCAAGAAAAATTGCACATTACAGAACGGCTGCTTTTTTTTTTCATTCTTTAATCCTCAAAAAATTAAATTGTGATTTCCCAAAATTAGATGCACAGTTGCCTGGTCAATCCCTGTATGTGTCTCTAACTCCTTCAGAGACCAGCGCCTATCTTCCTTCAGGCACTGGGTGATCACAGCACAAGAAACATTGGCACTTGCTTCTCTTCTACGTTGGAATGCTTCTATCCACCTTGCAACAGTTCTGTATGGTGGAGTACGATCACCCAGAGCTTCCACAAGCTCTTGAGTGACATTCAGTCACATTTCTGCCGCGAAGCACTGCTATTTTCACGTAACAACGCTGTTCCAGCCGGCTAATGTCCATTCTCGACGAAGGTTATGATCACACTGACTTCGCAATGGACTCGCTTCGTTGTCCTTGGACTTCCGCATCATCTAGCAGCATCATTAGAAATCAGACGTTGCTGTCTCTCAGTGGTAAATTTGGAAATTCCGGTAAAATTATGTCGCCATGACTTTTGAAGTAACCCATGTATATGAAGGAAGGACCTTTACATGAGGTGGTGAGAGCAATCAAATCACTCTCCTGCTGTGCCATCCCTTTCTCTAATTCCATGAAAACAGTTATCATAAACTGAGTCTATACAATCTCTTGGGGTAGGATTTGAGGTACTCACAGCAATGACTATGAAAATATTATCATCTAGGATGTAACACAACGTAATCTAGTAGAAGTTCACCAATACTTTGCAAGGATGTCTGAATTTCTACTAGACTACACAGCATCATATCCCATAAAACAGTCCTTTCCATCTCTCATGACCAGTCACCGTACCTCATGGAAAAAAGGCTCTGAGTGTTCAGCAAGATTTCTCGTATGACAATACTGGTTTGCATCATATGTTGAAAATACAGTACCTGTACAATAAATGATATGAACTCCGTCCCAAGTGCAAACAATATATTATATGTCCTTGATCTTGCTCTCCTTTACACAGCATGTTTCGGCCTCAAACGGCCATCATCAGGTGTATACACTCACGTTGCTGTTACACTTCACTTAGTTTAAAATTTAACATTTAAAAACACATTGTTCCTTTCGTTGTTATTATCAACATCTACTTTGTTGATATCTGTCTGGTTTATAGATTATTTTTGTTACACACGTTAGCACTCATAAAATCTTTAGTTCTAATTTTAAAATTTTAAAATTTAAAATTGTCAGGGTTACTCGCCCTATGTCTATAGTGCTACAGCGGCTAGTTCTTGTTTCCAGCACTGTACAGATGTTATTTTGTGCAGTCTCCCTGTGTGCGTGCCGCTGCTATTCGTTACTAAAGATTTTATAAGTGCTAACGTGTGTAACAAAAATAATCTATAAACCAGACAGATATCAACGAAGTAGATGCTGATAACAACAACGAAAGGAACAATGTGTTTTTAAATGTTAAATTTTAAACTAAGTGAAGTGTAACAGCAACGTGAGTGTATACACCTGANGAACATTGACCTACAGTAACTTGCTTCTTATTACCTTCTTTCCCATAATTGCATTCATAAGGGAAGACTTCCCCACATTTGGCTGCCCAATGCAGCCTATTGTTAAAGTTCCATCTTTATATTTTTCATGTTCAAAATATCCTGTGTCCACTTTCTTCATCTGGAACAAATTATGATGAGATACATAATTTTGTTAATTAATTAGAGAATGTCATTACCTTACATAAAAGAACATGTCATTTCCTTTATATTAGCCTCTATATTAAAATGCTTAAGGGATTACTGTCTGAAACTAAAGGTGTGAAAGGAATTCAGATAAGAACTAAATATGTTAGACATCAGTTCCTCATTCATAAGATCCATCGAAGTAATTTCAGAATTAAAATCTGGTAGGTAGGAATGTAGGCTCTGTCATAGCTCAGCCAGTTAGAAGCTGGCTTCCCACTGCAGAGGCCCAGGTTCAATCCCAGTTGACACAAGAGACTTAAGGGCTGCCACACACCACATGTGTCAAGACAAGCATCAAGACATGAGACAAAAGATACAGTCTTGCTTCATTTGTGAGTCGTCAGCATCATGATTCAGACTGGTGTATGGCAGTTTTCATAATCTTATTCATTTCAACTGTGCTCCTTTCTTTGCATCATGTCGCAGACATTGGGTCTTGATTGTTACATGTCTTAACGCATGCCAATGTGCGGCCTACCAAAGGTGGACAAATTGGCATCGGAAATTTTTCTCCATGTTATTTCAGTTTTCTCCTGCTGATCATCATTCTAGTATTCCTCTACACTAATCACCACCTCCTGAAGTGTGCAATAGTCCTGACTAGGAAGCACATCATTATATTCTCCATCAAGTTTAACCTTTAAGTGACGGCCCTTTAAATTCCGGTAACGGCAGCGGGACGGATTTGATTTAAATACCCGCAATATTAAAGCAATAAAAACTGTAATCATTTCCTAAAATTGCTGTGATTTCTACAATTGTTGTGATAAACGAACCAAATAAATGCTGTTTTTTTCTAGAAAGAATATAGAATCAGATATCGTAATTTAGAGACTTTATAAAATGTGTAAAAAATTTTAGACTGATTCCAAGTATAAAATTCCCAAATTTGTCGTCAGCCTACAAGAATTCATAATTCATATACAGTAGACTCTCGATTATCCGCGCGCTGTTTAACCGCTTTGCGGCTCAACCGCGGCAATGTATTTTTAAAGATTTTTTTTTTTCAGTGAGTATCACATTTGTTTAAATGTTTTGTATGACAGTCAATGTTAGTTTACTATAATTTAGAGAGAACTGTACTCGCATTTACGTCATCCATCGATATTCTCCCGTTATTTTTCTTAAAAGCTCGAAATCAGGTTTCGAAAGCTCGAAACCTACCCTTTTTCCAACAAGTAGAGAATGTTAAAGAACCTTGACCAGCAAGGAGCCATAAATCTGTCTGGTGTGAGACCTCAATTAGCAAAGGGACCAACAAAGACCAAACTCAGGCACCAGTCAATCTGTAGTAGTGGGAGGAAGGAGAGTTCTTTTGAAAGAAGAGTACGATCCTGTCTGTCACTGAACTGCATTCTTCAGTTGTTATTAATACAGTAGGCAGTTCAGTTGTGTGGGAAAATACAATTTAAGTTTTTGTGCGAGAAAGTGCCGAATTACCATTGTTTTTTTTATCATTGTGACTGGTTCTTCAATAATTTAAAAATAATGGAGCAGAAAAGGAAGCGTGTAGTTTTAACAATTAACCAGAAACTCGACATAATTAAGAAGCTTGAGCAAGGATGGTCTACCAGAAACCTAGCTTTACAATATTGTATAGGTGAAACAACAGTTCGCGATCTCAGAAAAAATAAAGATAAATTGATTAATTACGCCAGTAATTTTGATTCATCGAGTGGCTTATCAGGCAGAAAAACAATGAAACTGCCAACTTATGATGAGCTTGACAAAGCAATGTTGCAATGGTTTAACCAACAAAGGGCACAAAACATTCCTGTTTCAGGAATTATCTGCGCAAAACAGGCAAAACTATATTTTAATGCAAGGATAAGCAATTCATCTGCTCTTCAATGGACTGAGGGTTTGCTAGAGTTTCTGGAGCAACAAAGCGATTCTCTGCTTTCTGACAAATTGGTGTTACGCAGATTGAGAGCAACCATAAGGAAGAAAGAAGCCATGTCATTGAAACAGAAATCAATAACAGACTACTTTTCCTAAACATTCGTAGTTTTTGGTATTCATTCATCTTCCTTTATTTTAGTGCACAGTACTGTATAATGGTATTAGATTCAATTATTTTCGTGTTACGGCATTAGGATATTAGTGTGGTTAAAATTACAGTGTAGGTGTATTTCAGTGTATAAATCTACAATAGAACAGTTTCAACTATAATAGGCTATGTACCGTACTTCAGAAGCTTTATAATGAAGAACCATTGGCCTGCATCACAAAAGGTAAGCTTAAGTAGCGTTTTATGGTGTAAAAAATTAACGATGTTAAATTTATACCGGTATATCTGGCTTGTATATGTGTACTTCGGTTTATCCGATGTTTTTGATTATCCGCGCCAAGTCTCCCCGCCATTACCGCGGATAATCGAGAGTCTACTGTA